GTTTGAACGATGAGGCTGGGGCTACAGCCAGGGAGGAGATGGTGGGGAGACACTACAGCGGAAAGAGGCTAAAGCTGACTGGGGATAGCTATAGACAGTCGGAAGATCGGATAAGCCTGCCAGGCTGCAGCTAGTCAGAGCTAGCCTATAGACTAACTGCTGGAGATGTAAGGAGTACCGCAGTGGATCAGCCAGCTTGCCGGGCAAACAACCCCGGAGCATGGGAGAGAAGACATCAGCTGGTCGATGGTCAAAACTGTCCTTCTAGGACTTATTAAAAAGCCCTCCCTACTTCATCCTTTAGCAGCAATAAAAGGGCATAGCACTGTGTAATTCTGTCCTATGGTTTTGGGATTAACCCACTTATCACTCTAGAAATAGTCAGCTGGGTTTCATAATCATTTTTAAAGACTATTCACACCTTATAAAGGAAAAGGATAGTTACAAAAGCTTAATTTAATCTCCTTTTTACAATGTCAGGTTCAATGGCTGTTTTTATTTATTTGTTCTTTTCTAAAGCTTTGTCCCTTCTCTTACACTGGAAAAAATCCAAATCTAGATCAGTCATTTTTTCTCAAAATAAGTGCATTTGTTCTTGAATTGAGGAGGTAAAAGAGACATTATGCCAATGGAACAAGACAATTTACCTTGATAATAATTGCATTGTCTTATTTCAAGTGCATTTTATATAAATATCTTATTTTAAGAGTAAAAACACTAAATCCTTGGCAGATTATCTCATTTAAATAGTCAAATTAAGGGTAAATACACTTAATTTAAAAATGTTTGTACTTATTTCTTGATCGTTTTTCCAGTGTATGTTTGCATGTATCTTATGTGTGTGCATATGTATTTACACAGTCTGCATACCAATACATTAACTATGCAGGAAGGGGTGTCCGAATTCCTAGGTAAGATTGCAAAGCCCTAACTGTTGTGGCTTCATTTTTTAGGGTGAGAGATAGTGGTTGAAAGTAAGGAAACTATTGGAATTGGGCCTAAATTAGGCTATTACAATAACAAAATTTGGAATTAGTGTTATCAAGGGACAGAGATTCCATCCTGTGTTGTTTTTTACACTAGACTGTAGAACCTGCCCTGGTTTCAGTGAGTTTGGGCGAATTGGAAACTGTTCTAAGATGACAGAAGGTGGGTGGTCTGTTTTCAGAAATAGTATTCTGCAACTGTTGTCTGTCTTGCTCTGATCTCAGACATCAGCAAGTTATTTTCTCCTTAGGATCATCCTCTGTAAGTTTGAGTTATACTTATACCCCGTTTACACTACCCTTAAAAAACTGAGCCGAGACCGGTCCGAGCTCAGTAACTGAGATAACTTGTCGTGTGTGAACGGAAACAACCTGAACTGAACCGATATAGACATAACCGGACCGCGCTAACTGCAGACCAGTTCCCGAGGTGGGTTCGGCTCGGTTTTTTCCTGGCTCGGTTCTCTGATAACAAGAGCGCATGAGCAGAACGCGTCATCGCCGACTGGCTGAACATGCCGATTCACACTCCATTCCAGAAAGTCGGCTTCCCAAAAGCCGACTTTCTCAAGTACATCCGCGCAAGGTTGCCGTCTTCGCCTGACCCACCGCAAACACGGAAGTACAGCAATAATAATCAAGCATAACTTTCTGAATGTGACGGGCGCCGCCATTTTGATTTGCTTGATTCCCTCCTCCTTCGTCTTCTTCTTCTTGGGTTTTACGGCGGTTGACAAACAGCGTTTGGTGCATTACCGCCACCAGCTGCTTGAGTCCCTCCTTCAATCCTAGCAGTAATACCGCACATCGTCACTAGGAGGCGAGGAGTCGAGGAGTCGAGATAACCGAGATAAGTGTGACGTGTGAACGGTCGTCAAAACTGAGCTTGGCCTGGTTACCGATCCAAGCTCGGACCGGTCTCGGCCTGGATCGGTTTTTCAAGGGTAGTGTAAATGGGGCTTATGTCTGACTGTGTCTCATTTTCAAGTATAATAATAAAGTATGTATATTTTCTATATGAATACAAATAAACTTAAATCTGTTTTTGCCCAGATGTTAGACCTTTTCATGTTGAGTGTGATAAAAAATTGGAGAAGAATCCAGAGTGAGAGGGTGGCTTGTTTTCTGTTTTGTTTTGTTTTCTTTCCATGTGGGCTTTTTGTTTAGATTGGAAAAGTCCACAATGGCTGCTCCTTACAAGAGAGCACTCTGGACATTGCACAATTTTGGTTCTCTTCCTAGACTAACTTACTTAGTGGGAGGTCACTAACTTTAGCCCACCTTGCTTTTATCACTCCTAACTTTATTCCAGCATAAGGGCAGAATCCAAAAAATGTCAAGATCTCGCCTGCAGAGCAGTCTGTAAGTGCGGCTGCTTGTGTATCTGTTTATCTGTTGCTTAAGAGACCAAATAACCAACCACGGCAAACTGCTAATGTCGCTAATGCATCCATATAAACATGGATACACCCAGAAACCGTTTTAAGAAAAAATTAGGTCTATTTATGTTTTTCTCCTAAAAATTATTAAACATTTTCTTTAAAATCATAAAAACAATTCTGCGTGTTATTTCCATCAACAAGCAACTGAACAGATGGTCTTATAAGGTCATTTCTGAGTGTATATTCCAATAGGAAATATGTTTCACCTATTTTATTCACAAGTAATTATCTTTGTCATTTCTCATATTTGTACAGATATTTTTTCCAAAATGTATTTTCTCCCATTTACCCTTAAAAGCTGCTCAAAAAGAAAAAAACTCATTTAATGTTATGAAAATACACGCAGCTTCATCTTTTTTCTTGGAAGACATAAAAGAACACTAGACTCTTTAATTATGTCTTTTGCAAGGAACATTTTAGCACATTTTCTGCCAAAGTTACAGAAATTCTGTTCTTCATAAATTCGGATCTTTGCAGAGAATATCATAAAACAAATCTTTCACTTTTTTGATCCACAGTTCTCCTGATGGAGCAATGCAAACGTCATCAGGGACTTATCCATCCATCCCTTTATACTGGCTTGTCTGTCTGGTCTGTAGGGTTGCTGTTATCTCAACTGGTCATTTGGTAGGAAACAGGCTACAAGTTGATGAAGTCTGGGAAAAACCCACCAAAGCAGATAAAGAACATAAAGAACCCATGAAGACAGACGTCAGACTTTGACCTGATTCCAGGATTTTCTTTCTGAAGGCCAACAGTGCTCAGGAATTTAGTGACCCTTCATCCAGACCTGAATCTGATCCAAGGGATTGGCTGATGACTTGCCCAGTTTACCTAGTTGTTGAGTATTGCTGCAAGTTTGCCTCAAACCCTTTCTTGATTTAATGCTACCAAGCCAGCATTTATTTCCTGCTACTGCCTGTTAAACTATATTCCATACAATCTGTAGATACCAGTGATCATGTTGGAAGCATCTGCCTAGTGGACATTTTATACCCAATTCTGATGATTTGCTCAGCGAAACGTGTAAAATTTCTTGCTCATCTATCAGGTCCATTGAAATTAGCCACGTTTGCATAACTGACTGCCTGACCTAAAGAGTATACATGTACGGTATATATTTATTGTAAATCCTTGGAACAGTATTTCCAAAAAAAGTTACAAACCACTGGAGTTTATTTTACAAGTTTAAAGATGTTTTAAAGATGTTTTTTTTTTAATTCAAAATGTCTGAATTAGCGTTGAGTTCCAAGCTTTATAGAGTAGCCCAACAAAGCCTTTTTTGGCTTAGAAAACATGTGAACTGAACCAGAAGAACAGGTCCACCCCTTTGTAATGGGGAGTCATTGAGGTCTTTGTTAAGCTGCAACACCTGATACTGGCCTATGCAAATGAAAACAGGAGTCAGTAGGGCCTGGCTGGCCTAGGCGAGATGTCTTAGTCTTGCAGGATAGCGGGAAGGAATCAACTCTATCGCTGCATTGTAGGGTTTTGAAAGCTGAAACCTGAGTCCACCCCTCTGTTTAAAGTTGTTTTTTCTCTTAGAGAAAAACCAAAACCCACTGGAAAACAAAGTCCAGTGGTTTTTTGGAATGACTATGACCTGGATGACTGAAAATCTTCACAATTCTTTGGAACAGTAATGTTAAAGTATTATTGCAGGAATTGTTCTTACAGTGTTTAACCTAAAAGGATTCAGAGAATTAGCAGCAATTATCAAGAGAGGACAATACACTGATGGTTTCTACCCATCTGCAACCCAGCTTTTAAAAAAAACTCAACAGATTAGGATGGTAATTGGCACATTTGCTTTATTTCGAAAACAGACATTGAAACCATTTTTTATTTCATTTTTTTTTTCATTCTTTTTTTCACAAGTTTGTACTTTCAGATAAGGTTGAAACTGGACATGGTACTCACTGGAACATAGGAAAAGAATTTCGTATGTTGGATTTTCCTTTTTCAGATTTTTTTCTCTTTTTTTCAGTAACATCAGTGCAATTCTCCAATTCATAGAAACTGTCATAACAACACCAAAGACATCAAAAAGAAGCCGCCACACCTCTTGTTTTTGTGGCTGCGAAGAAGTTCCTCTCGAAGGGAGAGTTCCCATCATGCAACTTGTTCCATGGTTCATGCTACTGTTCTCACACTTGCTTGGCATATATATATCTATATATATATATATATATATATAGATATATATATATAGATATATATATATGGGCCAAACACATCAATACTATAGCTATTTTTTTTATTTATTATAGGATTTAAAAGGTCCAGAAGGTTCTATAAATGTCACTTACCAGAGTTTGTAAAAGTGATGTAAACCAAGCTTGAGTTCCTCAAGCTGAATAGAAAGAGTAGTAATTCTATTGACTAATTTTTGGACTTTGAATAAAACAGGCCAACTGAAAATCTCACACATTTAGATATACATTCGCATATTTACCTGGCTTTTTGTTGTGTTTTCAATACACGTGTGCAGTGCTGAAAACCGGAGTTGCATTTTAAAACTAGCCTGTTTTTGTGCATGCATTTGCAAAACTGAGTTTTGTTTCAGCGACGTGGTTTTTAAAAAAAGTGCATGACAATGCAAACGAATGGTGGTGCATTGGCAATGCGTTTTTAAATGTGTGAGCGGTCCAGTTAGAAGCTGTCGATCCAGTGATGTTTCACTCACATTAGGAAGTGAAGACACTGATGCTTCCCGCTTTTGCATCACCATCATCATCAAGGTAATAATCATGTTATTATTACAGACATCATCATCACCATCACAATATTAGCTTGAGCCAGAAAACTTCAAGCTGGAAACTCCCCCAACATGAGAAAATCATTGCCACACAAAAAATGACAAACAAATAGAAACAGACTGCCCTTGACGTTGGGAAGGTAAAGAGCAACCTTTTTAGATTTTTGTTTTTGTGTTACTCAACATTTTCTCTTAATTCTGATTTCCAGTGGTTAAGGCTTTGCCTTTAGTCTTCCTTGGACTCGGATGGCTCCGCAGCCCCATCTGGGTTGGTTTTCTCCTCCGCTTTCGACTCCTCTGCAGCATCTGTGTAGAAGTGAAGGAAGTAGAGTGATTGGATGGAGAGCAAAGACAAAGAATAGAGAAGGAAAATAAGGCAGAAATTTGAACATTTTTACAAATTTTATCAGATTGGACTAAAAGAAAACGTCTAAATGAGTCTTGTTAGAGGCTAAAAAGTGCTTCAAATAACAACTATGACTTTAAAATGTCCCTTTTCTGAATTTCTGGCCTTACATCGTTTAAAACCTTCCCCTACAAAGGGTTGTTAATAAATAATAAAGGATAAGAGTGCTCCTAACGGACCCATGGAGCCCTCGAGCTGACATGACAATGCTAACAGCAGCATCTTGGCCTGCCACATCTGATTGTGTGTGATGCCTGCAGGGGGATTGTGCTACAATAACAAAACAGAGGCGTCTCCAGCTGAAAAGGAATCCTTGATGCATCAAAAAAGCATTTTTAAAATAGGTTCTAGGCTAGAGGTGGACATTGTTCCGAGGCTTTATTTCAAATTCTGCCTCTGGAAGTAGCATTTCTAAAACAGTGAAAAAATAAAAAATCTTACCAGCCAAGGCCGTATTAATAAGTAAATCTACTCCAGTTTCAGTTGTGCCAGACAAAGCCTATTAGTGAGGTGCTCTTTGTATAGTGATATCACAGCCAGATGATCTCATACGTTTTTATTATAAAAAGCAGATGACATCATGGCAGTGGGGTGATGAAGTGCCTAGTGTGTGTGTGAGTGTGTGTGTGAAGGAAAGTGGGGCAATCATATGGCTGCTGTAATGTGTGACTAAGACAGTGTGAGTCATTGCTGATCTTCCAGGTAAGAGTCAATTAGCTTTTTAGCCAGCATGACAGATTCAAGGACGTCATCATCCAGTCGCTGAAATTGTGCGAAGATAATAAAATTTCATGCAATTCCTTGAACCAACAGTCATGGTCTTCACTAGCCTCGTGAGACCACCCTGATCTCGCAAGCTTTCAAGGTTTCACTTGCAGATCAGCCTGGCTACTTTCCGTTAAAGAAGATTTGGAGCCGTTCACCAAACGAACGCCCAATCAGCGTTGGCTTTGAGGCGGGTTGAGGTGTGACGCAACGAGAAGCGCGACAGTTCAGTCTAAAGAACATGGCGGCTTCAGCCGATGAAACTAGCGTTAGCGTGGCTATCGAGCAAGTTTTATCGGAATATTTCTTCACTGAAAGAAGAGCAAGACAGTGCTCTGGAGGCTTTTCTCAGAGGAAAAGATGTTTTTTGCTCTTCTCCCGACTGGTTTGGGCAAGAGTAGCCTGGCTTGTGGTTGTGTTTTCGTCGTTGCTCTGTTAGTACGGCATATGCTTCGTTGATCTGATTGGTTTATTTGGCCCGTCTATCACCAACATAGGCCAATCAGCTAACCAGTATTTTCGCCCCTTCCCAAAATTACTTCAACGGAAGGTTTCCAGACGGATATGCGGAGCAAATCCATCTGGCGGAGTCAGGTTAGGTCTTCACTGCTCCTGCACTGATTCCAGATGATGCACGGCAGAATTGGAACCAAATGAGAACTAATGAAGAATGCAAAGGTATGTTTGAACTAGTGTTGCGCCGATGCCATTTTTTTGGCCCCGATACCGAGACCTGGCTGTGCAGTATTGGCTCATACCGATACCATCCGTTTGAAATTGATGTGTTTGTATATATGAAGAACTGCATACTACTTGGATGTAAAATAATTGCCATCATGGTTTTGTCAAGCTGCTGCCTACCTTTGTAAAGCAGGAAAAAGACTAATACAAAGCGAATCCAGTAGAATTTTTTATTGCCTACCTGGAATTGGTGACAATAGTTGAATAAACTTTTAGCTCTCAAATGGTATTGGTGCCCTATTTGTCGGTACTCGCCGACACTACCGTTTTAGTGCTGCTTCGGGGTCCCGCCCGATACTGGTATCAGTGCAACACTAGTTTGAATAAAACAAGCAATGTTCAATGGATTCATTAGGATATGAAAGAACATAAACCCACATGTTGCATCTCAATTTAACTAATCTGACCATTTGTTTTTCTTTCCTTCATGGTGGATATCTACCTGCCATCAACAGTGCTTTGATACAGAGAGCACACTGATGTAACCCACTATGCAGATGACATCTGACTGTTTGAAATGGCTCCTTTTTTGTAGGTGATGCTTTCCAAAGAATGTGCAAAGTTTGTATTAAGGATTAGTTTTTTCTGTTTCTTTTGACTGTTCCCTGTTTTCACAATCATGCACAGATAAATCACACTCAGCTGGTTAGAAAACAATTATCACTTCTATGCAGTATCTCATTAACCAACATCAAAAGTCATTGAAGGCAAACACAGAAAAACTAAAATAAAACCTGCAATAACTCATTTGCATTTAATGATATCTGGTGCATTAATGAATCCAGATCCCTAACATGGTAAAATTTTATTAAATAAATATCAATTATCGTTTCAGCCAAAAATCGTAATAATGAAGCTACTGTCTGAGGTAAATATATTTTAGTTCTGAACTGTTGTCCACTTCATTTTTGCAGTTCATTTAAGAATATTCTAATGGCTTTTATCAATGTTCCAAGTAATAATGAATAATAAATGATTCAATAAAGAACACTGCGATGCTACAAAAGTCATTTTGAATTAAATTAGTGCGACACCCTGCATAATACACGACTCTGTCAGATCTTAGTTGGTGGCGCTCTTCAGTATTTATTATTGATCCATATCTAATAGAACCATTTAGTAATAGCTATTAATTAACTCTAAATCAGTAGCGTGAGTGCAGAAGGTTTTTGTTCGCTCTGGCAATTTAATTAGCAGTTCTTGGTGAGGTAGTACTTGTTTACTCCATGACTCCCCAGTGCTGACCGTTACCTGTAAGGGATCATTAATCATTCATTTAAATCAGAGCACCTGTTATGGCTCCTCTTCTCCACGCAGGGCTAGCTATCCCCATTGAGGTGGTAACTATGACAACAGGGAGACAGGTGACCTAGTTTCTTTGTAGTTCTCCAGTTGATGTGTCTGTGCGTTTCACCACTTCACACCCCTATCAACTTTGCACACATAGCACACTCTACTGCCCACCTGTCTGACCCGGACTGAGCGTCCTTGGACCACAAATATCGGTTCATGTATAGAGCGTGCTGACGGAGGCAGCTGCATGACTTTCAGCTCCTCGTGGATCAGGTCCAGTTATAAAAAAATCTAGGTTTCCTCACTTACTATTGTTGTAAACTCTAAAAAGAAAATAAAAACTGTAACATGTTCATGAAAGCTTATTGATTGAATAGATTTAATGTTCTCAAATTTAAACAACAAGCAATCTCTGCTTCCTAATCACTACACTGATTACCCTGATTATTCATGATGCGATCGTATCGCTTTATAATGGAGTTTCCATGCAGCGAGGGCTGTGATACGAGGCTGCCTAAAGAAATATTGAGCTGCATTTCTGTGTTAAACAGTAAATGGTGGAGGCCTGCCAAAGACCTTTGCATCCCAAAGACTTAACAAGCATTTATGTGCTGAGGTGTCTGCCAAGCAGCCTATGTGAAAGCCCAGCAATTCTTCTTTATTAGATTTTTACACCCGGTAATTACTTCTATATTGTTGAAAGGGACTAGAAGTTTAATTTGTCTCTGAACTGAGTCCCATCCCAAACGTATGCACAGAAATGTCTCCAATTAGACGGCTTGAATAGTTTCCCATCCAAACAGCTCTGCTTGGATCTGCATACCTTTTTTATCATTTGTTTGGTTAGGCTCCTCCTTTTCAGCTGTCGGACTGACAGCAGCAGGCACATCGGCTTTTCTGGCCTCCTCCTTCTTCTCTTCACTCTTCTCCTCCTCTTTCTTCTCCTCAGCCGTGGCTGTGGTGGGACTCTTGGCTGTTGCTGCCGGAGCCTCCACCTCTTTGGGCTTCTCCTCGGCCTTCGGCTCTTCTTTCTGAGGTTCAGAGGGGGCTGTGGGAGAGGCAGCAGTGGGAGCTGCCACGGGAGACGTTGCTGTGCCTGCAGGAGAGTTAGCAGGCTTGTCTGCTCCTGGGGTTTTGGCCTGGTTTGTCTCATCCCCCTCCTTCTTGGCCTCCTCCCCTGCATTTTCCTCCTGCTTAGTAGGTGCATCTTCTCCCTCCACTTTCTTTGTCTCCTCACCATCTACTCCCTCTTCTGCAGCTGGACTGTCTCCTTCCTTCTCTTCTTCTTCTCCATCTTTCATCTTTTTCCGAGTTATGTGTCCACGGAAGCTCGCCTGTATTTTGGTGGCAGCCTTGTGGGCCTTGTCCTCGGGCTTGTTCGGGGTGCCATCCTGTTCAATCTTCTGGTCTGAATCCTCATTCTTCTCCACCTGGGAGGCAACACACAATATTCCATGTTAGCAGCTGGTCTGAACTAAAAATCCACTTTTGGATATTCTGGCTTTGTTCATTACACTTAAACGCAATGTAATGGACTGAGAAGTCAGAAAAAAGTTCCTAAAAAACATCTTTAACCATCCTGTACTGACTTTTATTAGTATAATTCTGATAAAATGCAAACATTTTACAACACACAAAATCTTTTTTAGTGCAAAGTAGTAGCTTTTTCCATTAACTATTGTTAGATACATGGCAAAAAGCTTCCAACTTTCAATTAAAATCTTCAAAAATCCTCACAAAAATGCTCTTAAAGAGAAAGTCAGGCTGATTTCAATATAAGCACTCTAACAAGCTGGTTAAAGATGTTTTCACTCTACTGTACAGGATTTATTTAAAACCATGACTAAGGAACTGAAGGCTGGAAAAGTTGTCAGGAAATGTTTAGGTTCAGGAAGCATACGATGAGATGAGGAAAACGAGTAAGGAGAAGGATAGCGGAGTGTAACATTAACCAGGATTGAATGATTTTACCTTAGGCAACAGGATCCAAAGCTGTCCATCAAATAGGGGGTTGTGTTATGACTCATATAAATCTAATAAAAAGAAATCAAATCAAATAAAAAGCATGAACGATGAGTACTGAAAGTGACAAAGAAAATAAATCAGCACATTCAAAATGAATAGAGACATAAATCAATGTGAAATATTCACAAGTTGATAATCAATTCCCAGAAAGCAACACGCATGTTAAATTAATGTGTATGAATATAATCAAGTAGCAGAACTGTCCAGCAGTAAAGAGGCTGTAATCATTTATTTATGCTTAGTGATAGAGAGGGGAAGGGGAAAACAAGCAGCAGGAAAATGGTTTGGGACGGCTCCTTCTTCCTGCTCGAAATCATCGCAGAAAAAAAAAAAAGAAAGAGAAATCATCACAGCAGCCAGTAAATGGCATCAGGAAGAATAGGTCTGTAATTTAATTTCATGTGACAGTAATAGAAGATTTTTTTTTATGTGTAAATATAAGGATGAATCATATGTGAATGTGTATAGAGACTTAATTGTCTCCATATGATGAAATAGACTCGCTGGGACTTAAGGCAAGACAAACGGCTAAGAGTATTTATTGTGGTGGGTAGACGGAGGCAGATATTGTCTCTTTATAATGGTGCTGAAACACACTGAGCTCAAATGGAGATCCTCGCCACAGCATCCATTTGTGCTGAGTGCAGTTTCTGCTAATGATTCCCTGAAAACTGTAAAAAAAAAATCTCCATCCTCTGTGTACGCTCGCTGCTTCCCGTCTAAACGAGCTTCCTGCACGAGAATCTCCTCAGCATTCACCGCCATACCCCTCCCAGCCATCAAAGGTTACCTAGACAACCAGAGTGCTAACTCATCACGGGCCTGCTTGATGGCTGGCGCTACGAAATACTGCATGTCACCCTGACTGACAGCATCTGACCCCTCGGGGGACTGGGGTGATGGGAGATAATAAATTAAGAAAGAGCATTTTGGAATAGGAGGGGGTTGCAATGCAGCTAAAGGGCGTGGCAGGAGGAAAGGTGTGGATGTGTAAGAATTGGTAGTCGATGTTAACAGGCAGCAGGATGATGAAGATATCTGAGTGAAAATTGTGGCATCACAACTGCTACCGTTAGTGTCACCGTATCTGATGGAGGGTTTTAATTGGAAAGCTGTCTGCCCAGGGACCCACAGCAGTGCGGCGTGATTAACTGTCAGACCCCGGGGCCCCTAAACCAACACTTCCTCCTGAGGGTCAGTGTGTCAGGGCAATACGGTGCAGCAGTGAACCTCCTTCACCCTTCCTCCCATTGGGCCAGATAATAAATCCTACCTCAGGCCTCGCTCTGCTTCACACCAACCAGGCCTCCTAAATTATTTTTGGTCTGATGAAATTTTAAAACAAGAAAAAAAGCCCCGGCTGAGAAAAGAATCAATATCCTAACTCAGCTCTGCAAATAGAGTGATTTAGAGCGGAGGCTAAGAGCTGACCACAGAGGGGCCTTGACCAAAACAGAATTCGTAGAAATTTGTACAAATACTACTTAGTTGAGAAATGAATCTTTAAAGAGTCTTCATTAGTTTGCATGAGGTGGCTGCTCTCAAAGAATTCAGTAATTATTTACACAGGAAATGGAAGCTAGAGGTGGTGCGCTACCAATAATCTTCCTGTGACAAGAGTTTCAGTTAGACAAAAAATAATGATAGAAATGTAAAGCAGCACCAAAAAATAAATTAGAAAATATTTCAAATAGTTTCCAGTTAAAAGTATATTTTACAATACATTTTATTTAGAAAGTACAAAAGTTTAAGAAAGTAGCAGTTTTTTTTAAACCACATAAAACAATTGCGTTAAAGTTAGCGTTGCGCAAATGCAATTCTTTGGCCCCGATACCGATACCTGGCTATGCAGTATCAGCCCATACTGATACCATCTGTTTGAAATTGACGTGTGTTTGCAGATATGAAGAACTGCATACTACTTGGATGTAAAATAATTGCCATCATGGCTTTGTTTAGCTGCTGCCTACCTTTGTGAAAAAGGCTAATACAAAGTGCATCCAGTAGAACTTCTTGGAATGGGTGACAATAGTTGAAGAAACTTTTGGCTCTCAAAATGGTATCGGTGCCCTATTTGTCGGTACTCGCCAATACCAATGCCACCATTTTAGTGTAGTGTTGGGGCCCTGTCTGACACTGGTATCGGTATCGGTGCAACACTAGTTAAAGTAACTAAATACTGTTAAGTAAATGCCAAAAATGGCTGCATTATTTTTTTCAGTGTTGAAACTTAAGATGGGAAAGGTCCAAACCTCTAGGACTAGCTGTTAGCTTTAGCCTTCAGAATTAACCAGTATGAATTAGGGTTGTCAAAAGTATCGAAACTCAAAAAAGTATCGATACTAAAATGTTGTATCCGGATACAATACTTGTTTTTAAAAGTATCGATACAGTGCCACCACCAGTGGCACCTAAGCAGTCATTCATCTAAAGTGCAGAATTGAGGACAATGCACATTCAGAACACTGTGTGATTGATTAATTCTGTGCACTTTTCAGTTTCACACTTTTTTTTTTTTGTAACAGGTGCCGCTGCTGAGAATTATTTTTGTTTCTTAACCGGTTTGTCTAGCGTCATTGTTATGTGTGCAAAGCATAGCCAAGGAAGGAACACTTAATTTTAATTTTATACGTTTTTTATCAAGCTTGCTTAATATTGTGCACAGCATACAACCTTTATTGTATTTATTTATTGTATTTTATTTATTAATGAAAATATTTCTGTAGAATTTTGGAGTCTTTGTTTTTATCCTCGTGGTATCGAAAATAGTATCGAGTATTTTCCTTAGTATCGGTATCGAGTTGAAAAGTTTAGTATCGTGACAACCCTAGTATGAATTCATGCTGACAAGAGGAAAATAACTGCCTAGTTATTGAGATATTCAACATTCTGGTCAATGAGGTACTTCCAGAGGATGGTGAGATGTTGTTTGCATCCTCCCGCTGGACATGAAACATTTGCTGGCTCGCTTTAAAGTGTTATGGCAACTTAAGAATGATTCCTTTCATTAGGATTGACAGCAAGGAGACAAAGCTTCACCGCCCTGCCTTCTCCTCTTAGTAATATTCAGGCCTCCGGAGACTTGTTTAGCTTTTATTGGCCTGATCTCATGAGAGCTTGCAATTGCCAAAAAAACTTGACCTGAGCACTTAACTCTAAACCAAATTACTTACTGGCTGTGTTCAGTGAGTCAGGCAGGCAGAGGAAGCGATTGATGAGGGTGTTTGGGAATATAAAGAGGGTTGAGCTGAGGTATGACATCACTGCTGGAACAGAGGCAATGTCATTTACTTTCACGATGAGTGGATATGTAATAAGATACCAGCATATTGCTGAGTGATCTCATATCAATGTATGAGGGTGGGAAGCGACATCACCTTCACATCATTGGTTTAATCAACAGCTTTTGTCTGTGGGACACCCTTCAAAGCTGCTGCGCTGTCATCTTCTCCTGTTGGATCCTAGATTCGATGGAATATATAAGCTTTGCGGTGGTTACCGCTCCAATTTTCAGGCTGCAATGTACGGAAAATCCCATTTTGTCTGAACAGAAAAATCATTGCAAATCCTTTGCAAGGCTTTTAAAGTGTTGTTAATTGGGCCCATAGGAATCCTCTTGTGGGCACTCTTCTGCTCTGTCCCTTTGCAGCGGTCGGTTTCATTCATAAATACAGCAACACTTCCCTCAGGTGCCGCACCACAGATTAAACAAAGCCCGGACATTCCCATCTTCAACATATTTGCATTGTCCTGCTGATCAAATTAATTAATACAAATGGACTAACAGAGCTTCCTCTCTCATGCACGCTCACTTTGGTTGTCATAGATACAGTGTAAGAACCTAGAAAAAGGGAAATGTTTGACGTATGAAGGCAGAAAGCATCAGCTAAGATTGCAATTAAAAGGCCTTGATGTGCAGTTTTATAGTAGTAATTGCAGACTGCCCACACAGGACCAACCCCTGTCTTCTGTCTGGTCTGTGAAGGTAATAAAAAACTGAATGTGTCTATCAGAGCCTTCCTCAGCGGCTGCAGTACGCCTCTGTCCTTTGCTGGCCACCGTCTGCTGGAGAACCACGCCCCAAGCAGCCAATGGCACTACCGGCTTTATCCATAGCTACTACACATCATCACCACCCACCCCCAGTAAGGACACACTCTAACAATTTGCCACCTTCCCACTGCCTCCCCAAGAATGCCATTAGGGACTGGTTTCAGGAAGGGGAGGAGGGGGCAGGGCAGAAAGTGGTGAGGATGATGGAGCCTGAACAACCACAGAGCAACAGGGCAGAATGATAGGAAGATTATACAGACCTAGATGACTTTCTCTACATGAATATTGGACTGACTTACATCAAGTACAGTTAGGAAGTTATTAGGAGTGATTTTTGCCTGTTGTGAAGCAATGATTGGGAAACTATTCAGTCTCAAAGCCAACAGGTGCAGAGGTTAAATAACTTTTACAAAGCCGAGTTCAGAATAACTGCGGCAAATCCATGCAATTTAAAACCCATGATGTAGATATTAAAAAAAAGCAAAATGGAAATAATTCAGATCATACTGACTTCTTAAACTTCTGTTACACATGTGATCTGAGCCTCATAGCAGTGTCTCTCTCTGAAAACCTCCACATGATGTGAATCTCTATCTGCACGTCTCTGCGAAGCATCCAGACACCAAAGAGCAGAGGCTGCAGTCTGCAACTGCCGAGCATCTCTTCCTCTTTCTCTTGTCTTTCACTCTTCCTCTCGGTGAGCAAACTGCCACCCACTCACGCTCCCTCTCCGTCTCTCTCTTAGTCTCGCGCGCACACACGGGCACAGTGGAGAACCACACCCTTTTAACCGGCTGTCTCCTGCAGAAGAGGAGAGAGAGGGAGGAGGGGGGGAGGCTCAGCTCAGGTGGTGGCTGCCACAATCCCCCGTTCACCATCTCTGTCTGTCTCTCCCTTGACGATGAATTCATGAGGACGTATCGTTTCTTCATCTTTTTTTTTTCTTTATTTCCACACCTGACCCAGGAAAGGATGCTTTGCATCAACCACTAACATCATATGCTATCCTCATTACATCCTCCGGAGCAGCCTTTAATTAAATTACACCAGCCCTCTGCCTGAACAAAGGCTCTGCAATCAGCGGTGATCTCATAGGGGGTCGGGGATAAGGATGGAGAGAGATGCTGGAGGAGGAAGAGGGCTGGACATGAGAGGTGGGGGCTGGTTGGTGGGGGTGCAGGGACATTAGACTCATGCTTGGAGTTAGAGAGCTTAAACAGCAAAAAGGAAGCAGGAATTCTTCTTTTTAAACGATAGAAGAGGGTTTTCAATTTGATGTGTAATACAAAATGATAGGTGTCAAAATAAAATAGGAAATTTGTGCAAAAGATTGACAGATGGAGTTTGAGTAGAAGCAGCAAAGGTGAGAAACAATAACTTCAGCTTCACATGTGAAAAGGAGCTGGTTATAGACTTCAGTTTTGGAAGAACCTGGATGCAAAAATCAGACTGGAAAAGTGTGCTTTAAAACGGATACAGGCAGAATTTGGGACAGCATGGGACTTCTAAAGTAGATGCTAACAGCCCATCCTCTACACTGGAAATGTGTGGCAGCAGCACTTAGGGCTCCACAAAGACTGGAGTCCAGTACTGCTGTGCTAAAAAGCAGAAAACCATGCTCTTTGCTCGCCCATCCATGACGACCACAGAACGTCTCTAGATTCATTTACTCTTAGAGGCGGGAAGAGGAGGATAAGTGCTTAGTGCCTGGGAGGATATCCCTCCCCGGCAGTGAGGTGTGCAGCCTCACCCACATGGCTGCAGTGTGCAGCAGCATGCCGGCTTTTTATTCCCTCACGCTTCCTCCCCCCACTTTGATCTTACTCACCTTTGCGATCGCTCACCTGCTCCACCTATCGTCTCCTTCCAGCTGCAGCAATCGCTATCGTTCCTCTTCAATCTCTGTTTTTAATCACATTTGCAGCATCCCTGCCTCACCCTACTTTCCAGCATGTCTTCCTGTTTAATTGTCTTTTTGCATTTCCTCTTGCATCTTTAGCCCAGATCCCTTCCACGTGGAGCAGCCATGCTCCCAACCTGCCTACATCTCTCCGTGCATCCTCATGCATGCTTTAAGCAGCCTCAGCTCTATCACTCTCTCTCCTCCGGACCTTGCCAGAGCTAATATGACTCATGTGAGCTGACATTTAAGAAGCAATCAAGGGCCATCAAAATCCAGCATGTTATGAGTCTGATAAAAATCCCAATCCATCTGAGGTAGCAGCATGAACATCTCTGAGATCACCTAGAAAATTACCATAATGAATGCTACCTCTTTCTCTTTTTTTCCCTTTATTCTCCACCACTAAGAATGGAATCTGGTTTAATAAAGCACCCTTAAAAACCCTTTAAACAAGCACTCTCTTCACACCACCCCATCCACTTGTAAAAAGCTGGAGGGCTCTGATAATCCATTTATACTCATTTATTCCCATTGTATTCCCAGGAGGCCACTGACATGATGGTGCCGGCTAACTCAATCCGTACCCCACCCATTTTCTTCCTCGCTGTGGAAATTTTCTTTCCTCTGTCACCAACTACTGCTCAAGGTAACCCAATTTCAAAACCCTCCAACACCCCTGATTTAAAGCATCTATAGATAGATATCAGGAGGTAAGTTTAAATCATATGGAATGTCATTAAAAGATGATGGATTTGGAGTTTAAGAAAGTTTTTTGCAGCTTTTTCGATTATTAACAAACTGCTTTTCAATTATGTTGAACTTTTTTTTTTTCTCCCAGTGCTTAATCAATAAGAACCAGCTGGCCAAGACCACGTTCCAGCCTCGTGGCTCCTTGCCGGAGCAGTGTGAGGTCTGAGAGACATTGTGGCAACATTCATTCATGCAGGATAATCACATTAACAAGGCGTGTCGGGGCTTTGTAGATAGATTTTTTATAAAGACAAGCCGGGCCCAGAGTCAAAGCAAATCAGTGCAACGCTTCCCTCTAATCTCCTCCACCCCACCTCCAAAGCCTCCTAATCTGACTGCAAGGCAGCCTGTGACAAAAGTTCAGAGATGAGATGAATCATTTAGCGACAGGAAAAGGATGCTGGAGAAAGCAAAGGGATGCACTTTACCGGTTTGGTTCTTCTTATGCAGCACAGCATAGTTGGAGTTGTAGAATCCTCCCTTTCTCTTCTCTGCTTCTTTCTTCCCTTCTATCCTTCTCTTTCACTTCTTCTCTCTCACCCTCTCTCTCTCTCACGTCCTTGCTCACACACACACACACACACTCTGGTTCTCGCTTCCTCTCTCTCTGGCTGTATCACCAGCTAAGCCTTCGAGTGCATTTATTCATCCCAGTTTGCACACACACGCTCTTCACTCTGCCTGCCTGGGTGCAACTCTTTTCTCTCTCTTACTCGCTGCCTGACAATGCCTACAAGCCCACCCTTTAAGCCCCTCCCTTTGCCTCTCTCCTCCTCCACCATCACTTTCAGATCAGCTCTCCTCTTTTCTACATCTTCTTACCCTCCTCTTCCTCCTCCCTTTCAGCTTGGCTCCTGCTAAAAGCTGCGGCCCCACCCAAAAAGGCAGCCCCCTTTGATAACTGAGTGGACACCTCCAGACAGGTTTCGCCTCTCCAGTTTCATTTTATTCGGCTTAATTCTACTTTGCAATACTTCCCATCTCTTTCACACACACATGTAGACAAGGAGATGTCTCTTTTTTTGGCTTCATAGTGGGGTATGGGTGGGGCACTTGCCTACCTCTCAGACTGAGACGGCTCTCAGTGTGTCAGATTATAAGCCTGGTGGGTGCAGAGCGCAAATCTTCAGGGAAATGCCAAAAGCATGTTTCCTGGCACAGCCAGGGATCAGCTCCCGCTGGCATAGATGTATGAAAGAGAGCAGTGATGAGTGCTGATGCATGCAGAGCCGCACACACATATACACATGTACGCTCTGTGCTTTTAGGACACGTCACCCACATCACCAAAACCACCCACCCTCCCTCACGCTTCAACCCCCCACTATACCCAGCGCTCTCTGTTCTCATGGAAACACACTAGAAGAGCAGAGGAGGAAAAGGAGAGAAGGAAGAAGAGGGAGGAATGATGGCAGGAGGAGGAAGCAAGAAGGCCGGGTGTGGCAGACAGACAGGCAATGCAAACTGCTTTTCTCTCTCGCTCTCTCTTTCTCCTCCTCTTGTGTCCACCTTTGCACACAGTCTGGTTTAATGAGCAGCCACTGGCCAACCACTTTCTCCCATTTGAACCACTAGCATGGAGCGAAGCTTACAGGCTCATGCAAACACCCACACTCTGCATTTGTATTTCATAACACACACAGACACACAAACACAGAGACACACAGTGGTGTCAGAACTGTCCCCACCCCCGCTCCGACACCAGCAGGCTTCAGCAGAAGATACAGAGACACAATGAGGATGAGAAAACAGGTGGATAAAAGGAGAAGAAAAACACCTGATGGTATTTCCAGTTTACTGAAAAGAAAATCATTAACTGGCACCACTGGGCCTTCCAACCTCTCGGTGGTCACTCCAGTCACGGATTCAAAAGCTAACGCCATTACTTGGCAGAGCTACACCGTCTGTAGCAAGTCTGGTGAGACAAGTTTTTGCCTCTGCATAGTTATGCACATTCATGCTGAACAGCTGCCAGCTCAGGGTCCTTTATTCAAAGCTGCTTTGTTACTTTGAAAAGTGAAATGTGGTTCTACCTGAATTAATTGGGAGAAATAAATTATAGGAAAAATCATATTAAGCTTTATAAGATGAAAATGAAATTGAGGAAACATTTATTCCAATATGTAGATAGAACACTATCAAAACATTAATTCAAACAAGAAGCAATGGAAACATTTAGAAATAAAACAGATATTCGCCTGGTCATCATGACCCCAGGAGAAATTACAGCAAAATTAAACACAGATGACTGTCACCCAGGTTCTATCCCCTTTTATGTTTCTCTCATTAGCTCCAAAACTCCAGCTAAACTTGACCAACACCAAAAGCACATCAGCAGAAGATGGAGTAACCAAAAGTGAAAGTTTACTCATGGATTTCATCCCATGTGTGAACCAGTTATCCCCCACAAACTGGAACACTTTATATATATATTAGGGATGGAACGGTTTTTGAAAACCGTCCGAACCGTTCGGTTTGACTGTCTCGGTTCGGTTCGCGTGTGTTTCGTTCGGTTCATGTGCTGCTCCTTTTTCTCATAGGCGAAGCGTTTACACTCCAGAGCAGAAGGTGGCGGTACTGTGACCAAAGCCANAAAGTGAAATGTGGTTCTACCTGAATTAATTGGGAGAAATAAATTATAGGAAAAATCATATTAAGCTTTTTAAGATGAAAATGAAATTGAGGAAAAGTTTATTCCAATAGGTAGATAGAACACTATCAAAAGATTAATTCATACAAGAAGCAATTGAAACATTTGGAAATAAAACAGATATTCACCTGGTCATGATGACCCCAGGAGAAACCACAGCAACAGATTCTATCCCCTTTTATGTTTATATGTTTCTCTAATCAGCTCCGAAACTCCAGCTGAAGTTGACCAACACCAAAAGCCCATCAGCAGAAGATTGAGTAGCCAAAAGTGAAATCTTACTCATGAAATTCATCCCACGAGTGAACCAGTATATATCTATATATATATATATATATATATATATATATATATATATATATATATATATATATATATATATATATATATATAGTTGAACTACCAGAAGGCCACATTACAGATGTTCAGGACAGCTACAAATACCTTGGCTAATGGAAACCACGAGGAGATAGCAAGAAAGACTGCCACAGCTAGATACCTACAAAGAGTAAGGCAAGTCATGAAAAGTCAGCTCAATGGGAAAAACAAGATCCAAGCCTTCAACACATATGCCCTGCCAGTAATCAGATACCCCGCTGGTATAATAAACTGGCCAAAGGAGGAGATAAAGGCTACTGACATCAAGACGAGAAAGCTCCTCACAATGCATGGAGGGTTCCACCCCAAATCCAGCATTCTGAGACAGTACACCAAGTGTAGCGAGGGAGGCGGAGGGCTAGTGAGTGTCAAGACCACTGTCCAGGATGAAACAACTACTGTAAGATCCAGGAGTACATCAGGAAAATGGCCCCCAAAGACAAATGGCTTGGTGAATACCTCAGGCAGGAGAAAACCGAAAGTGAGGACCAGAAAGATGGAGACCCATCATGGAGGGACAAGCCGCTGCACGGCGTATACCACAGACAAATAGAAGAAGTGGCTGATATCAAAAAAATCCTACCAGTGGCTGGAAAAGGCTGGACTGAAGGACAGCACAGAGGCACTAATCATGGCAGCACAAGAACAGGCACTCAGTACAAGATCAATAGAGGCTGGGGTCTACCACACCAGGCAGGACCCCCTGTGCAGACTGTGCAAAGATGCCTCTGAATCAATCCAGCACATAACAGCAGGGTGTAAAATGCAGGCAGGAAGTGCATACATGGAACGCCACAACCAGGTAGCTGTCATAGTGTACAGGAACGTCTGCCATGATTAT